TGGGGAATTCTGGGAGTTGAAGTCCACTCATCTTAAAGTGGCCACGTTTGGGCAACACTGTTCTAAACCAAAGTGGTGCTACAACTGACATTGCTTAACCTTTCCCCAAGAGTATAATTTTCCTGTTCATGAGATTCGGTGTCCTCTGATGCTGAGCAGGTCTGGTCACACTCAGTGATGTTTTGAAAATGTGAGTGTGCCATTTCCCTCCCCCTCCCCCCACCATTTTACACATTCACCGGAGGGGCACGGCTTTCTTTAGTTCAGCTTCCTGAACGGATACAGTTCCTTGCATCAAGGGGAGCCCACGTATGAGGAAGTGACTTTTCAGAAGTTGCCTTTTGCACCTCTCATTGAGAGCTTTGCCTTGGACTAGAAAGAAGCCTTGAAGTTCTTATTTTTCGAAGAGAGACCACTGTATGCGGAAAGAAGAGGTCACGTCGGCGTATGTGCTGTCCTGCACACCTGTTTTTACAAGGGATATATATGTGTCCAGCAATACACTGATGCAGCCTCAGAAAAGAGAAGGGATAAACCTGCAAATGGAGCTGCACAAAAACATTGTTTACAGTCTTTTCCCAGTGAAGGTTATAAACTGTATTTCCAGCAAGTTAGGTGAAACAATGTGTTGCTACAAACATATCAGATGTACAAATCCTTTTCAGTTCATTAAAACTTTGGGAAAACAATTGGTCTGCTCTTGAAATCTTTTTCCCCATGCCCTCTCCATTTCTTTTATTTAAAAGAGTGGAATTTGTTTCAAAATTACATCACTTTTGCCGGCCTGCCTGCCTGCCTGCCTGCCTGCCTGCCTTCCTCTCCCTCCCTTGTCCTTGATTATTGCTGACAGACCTTCCTTTATGGATTAGCTATATCACTGAAGGGAATGGAAAGTTGTTTTGTCTATATGTTTATTAGCACAGGATCCATCCTTTTCTTTCACATTACTTGAAACAGCCTGATTCTAGTCCCCTTGCTGCTTCAAACCTGAGGCTAGAAACAACAGATCTTTGTTAATCCTTCAAGAACAGTTTATGTAGCATAAAGGTCTGTGGAAAATGGACTTTTCAGGTTCTGAGAAGAATACTAATTTTGCATGAGCTCGTGGCTTATTGTACTGCCTGTTCAAATAGGTAACAGGATCTGAGGAGAGATTTTGAAGCCTAAGTGGTAAGCTACTTAAAAGATCCCTGCATTTTTTTTAAAAAAATAAGGTGGTCTGTTTTGGAAAAATGGAAGATTGATTGGCATCCATCCATTTTGTTCCTTCAGTTTAGATTCCTTATGTTTCTGGTTGCCTATGCTGTACTTGTTGGTATGGTATAGATAGGGATGGTATACATTATATACGAATGAACATCAGATAGGCTTTAGATGTTCCTACCTAGTCCCTGGAATCCAGTAATGGTTTTTATATGCTCCCTGAACAGCAGTGGTGTTATTTATATGTATATAAATATATCAGAGGTGTCAGGTCAAACAGCCCCGCTGACTCCTACCAAACCTGGAATTGCAGCATGGCCGAGAACACTGCTTGTATTTTCTCTGCTCCCCCAATCAAACTAAGGGCCAGCTGAAAACTTCCCAGGGCCCATTGCCTAATATTTACGCAAGAATCAACTTGGCTGCTGTCATTAACAAATGGAAAGGAGGTCGCTGTTATTTTGTAATCTGAAACATTCACCAATATAACTCCTGGTAGATGTCAGTTAAAGTATAACTTTAGTTGACCATGATGGCTTTTTTCCCCTTTAAAGTTCCCTTAACAAGGTATATATTGATGTACAGCAATGCATGTACAAAAGGGGTGGGATTTCCATCAAGGCAGGCAACACTGCTTTCATCAAACTGACTAGTTTGAACACACACACACACATGGATGATCGATAGTGGAGGGAAAAAAATCACTTTCTCTAATGTTGGTTGCAGTAGGATATACTACTTCTATTGGAAAGAACTAAACAGGGTCTCATAATAGCCACCAGACTCCTGGGGCAAGATGACAGTAGGTAGATCATCTACTACCTTTTAACCGGGCTATGTTTTCTTTGCCCAGGTACGTAGCTGTCTTCCAGATGGTTATAGGTGGCATGGCTGAATGTCAGAAGATGACGCAGCATCTCGTGCTGTTATTCTGTGTATGCTTCTCCTGTTGCAGGTTTTCTTTCTCCTTCAGCAAGTCTTCTATTTTCACTTCCAGCTTCTTGATTTCCTCTGTCCATTTCTGGGAAATTGACAAAGTCATGGTCATTCCCTTCCCCATAATAGCAGTGGTCAAATGACCACCTGGTTTTGTAAGCTGGACTCTGGTGGAGGCATATGGAAAGTTGGGCGCTCTCTAAAAGGTAAGGAGATGGTCTGGCTTGCCTTTGTTCTGGTGAGAGTTGAGCCAGGAACAGTCCTAGTTATGGTGGAACACCTTAGCCTCTATTCTTCAGAGGGTTTCCTTTTACTCAAAAGCCCAGTAGCAGAAATAATGGGGGGAAAGTGGTCTTGGATGTTTTAATGATCATTGTTGGGTTGCTAGAGAAAAGACTCATTGTAATAGCAATCTATGACTAAACTGTCCTATACCTATGATTCTAATTTGAAAGGATTTAGCAGTAAGATAAAACTGCTTTCTCCCAAATGGCCTTTGGGAGCTTTAAACTTGCTTTTCAGTGAAGAAAGTATCTGTTCCTGAGAAAGCATCAAATCTGATACAAAACTGGAGAGGAGGAGGAGAAGGAGGATTGTATGTTGGAGAGCTAGAAGCCATCTGTGTTGGATGGCACTTTCAAACTTTTTTTTAATTTATTTTTTATAATTGAGAAGAAAAATACACATAGAAAGTGCTTTAACAAAAAAGTGAAAGAAATAGAAGGAAAAAAACATGTTAATATGTCATTATCACAGTAAACAATTACAATTCTATATATACTTATCTCATGCAAATATTCAAGTCCATATGTACTTCTAATACATTTATATAACTACCATGATTCTTTTGTTTTTACTCTGGTTTCTCTCTTTTATTGCACTTTCAAACTTAATTCCCACGTGACAACTAGAATTTTGCTTCTATGGCCCCAAGTGGACATCCACATAAGGATGTGCAAAATCTGAAAATTACCTGCCGGCACCACTCTTGGATAGCGCTTCCAGAGAGGGGTCCCTGAACGCTCCCATCTCGCCTCAGGTACACTTCCCCTTGGTCTGTTTCATAAAGGAGAGGTTCTGCGTGCAGTTTGGGGGGATGGACGCTTAACCGGATGACTTTCAGAAAGATGCCCGTGTCTTCTGCTTTGATAACTGGGATGAAGCTCAGGGTGTAGGCTGTAGGGAAAACTTGTGGCTTGAAGCCTTTTAAAAGAGAGTCTGTGAGCAGGCGAATTCTGTCTTCCTCTTTGTGGTTGCATCTGACACCACGGACCAAGCCGTTGTCCTCAACCCCCACAAAAAGACTGCCCCCTTCACTGTTGAGGAAAGCGCACACATACTTCCGCAAATGATGCTTTAGAGTTACTGTCAGGTATTCACCGCTTCCTTGTTTGAATTCCACATTCCGGGTCTCCCCACCTATGAAAGCTCCATAGAATAGACACTCTCTACCGACAATCTCTTTCTGGACAATGGCACTGTCCGAGCGAGTGCTGTTCAGAAAAGTCACTGGCCAATCTACCAGTCTCCAAGGGTAATTAGCACTTTTTCTGATGGGATTAATTCTGTCATTTGGCAGTTGCTTCCTTCTCTCAGGTGCTGGTGGTCCTCCTAGAAGAACATCTGATCTGCTTCCCATGGAATCGCTCTGTAGGCATGATGAGCAAAATTCAAGCGCATAATCAAACGTCATAGGATTGGTCACCAGTAAAAGGACTTGCACCTTGCAAGAATGTAGGTTCCTGTTTTGGTTGAGTAATTGTGATAAAAATTACATGCCCATATAGATCCAGTATTTCCTGTTGTACTAAATATACAAATATTGGTGTTAAAATGGGGAAATAAGAGTTTAACATTGGCCCTGATTGTTTTTGAGTTCTGAGAGCTGGATGGCTGTCATTGCCGAAAAACCTGATTCTGAAACTAGGGAGGAGTTTATGTTTCACGACAGATTTACACTGAGTTTGCCTCCATGATTGATTTAGAACAGCCAACTGGTAATATGTGTAACACATAGCATACTTTGGATCCCTGTGGAGGAATCCAAACTCACCTTGTAGCCTGGTATGCCATGGACCATTTTTTTCAAACTTTCTTAAGTTTGCAGACTTTGTGACTGATGCTTTAAGAGAGTTTTTCCAAACTGTAGGTTCCCTACAGCTATATAGGCCAGATGTGTGAGAAATATTCTGTAATACATGAAGGTAGCCTCTGTTACGTCTTTATGAATTACTCTTTTTCCACATTCCTCTCTCTGTTACGTCTTTATGAATTACTCTTTTTCCACATTCCTCTCTCTGTTACGTCTTTATGAATTACTCTTTTTCCACATTCCTCTCTCTGTTACGTCTTTATGAATTACTCTTTTTCCACATTCCTCTCTCTGTTACGTCTTTATGAATTACTCTTTTTCCACATTCCTCTCTCTGTTACGTCTTTATGAATTACTCTTTTTCCACATTCCTCTCTCTGTTACGTCTTTATGAATTACTCTTTTTCCACATTCCTCTCTCTGTTACGTCTTTATGAATTACTCTTTTTCCACATTCCTCTCTCTGTTACGTCTTTATGAATTAGATTGGATCTGTCGTCTTGCTGAGAGAGAAAAGATTTAGGGCTTAAGTGGCAAGGAATAATTCCTTATTGCAAAAGCCAAGTTACTCCTTGCTATTCTGGTGCAAGGAAAATGTTTCCTTGCAAGGGAGAAAAAAGAAAAAAAAGCATACATTTCATACTTGTATCAAGACATTCTTCCTTCTCCCTAGCCAACCTAAGAATTTCTAATATCGAAAATTCTTAACAGTTCTTGCCATCCCGTTTCCTCACTTTGGTATTCAGTGCTAGCGGAAATGTGTGATAGAGCTATTAGGACCACTTCTTGCAGAATCCCAGGTTCAGCTCAAGAAATAAAAGGGTTTCAGGGTATAGGTGTCTATGTGCAGCCCCTCTGGGTAGCAGCACATTGCTTTCTGCTGTATGTGTATCTTTCTCCTCACGTCCTTGGATAAGGGGAGGATTCTCAGAACGTTGACTTCTCCAGTAGAGAAGCATTCTGGCCTGCTTCAGGCATGCAACTTGATATTAAATGTCTTTCACTGTTAATTGTAGATGGAAGTTTGTACAGGTATTGTAAGTATGAGAATACTCTAGCTTGTGCAGCTCGTGTGATTCTTGATTTCCTTCTTCTCAGTGTTGCCCAGGTGAGAAGCTCTTATATATACTCTCAGGATTGGCATACAACATTTCCTGCTTTTTTCCCCATAGTCTGGAATTCCTGGTATAAAAGAGCAACCACTGTTCTGCCACCTTACCTCTCTGCCATTTTTGGTAGCAGATGCAGGCTTTTTGCCTTGTCCCACAACGAGATTTTTCCCTTTCTGCACAAGCTCCTTGGACAGGTTCTGTTCTGCTTCAGAAGCGAGCAGTAGTTGTTTTAGAACCTGCTCCAGACTGATTTCTGTGGCCACCTGAACAAAAGCATAGGCCTGTTTACGTTTCTTGATCACTTCAATATTGTATCTTTGGAGGGTGACACTTGCCATACCAAGGATGTCCTTCAGCATGCTGCAGAGAACTTCACTGGAATACTTGGGGTTTAAGTTTCCAATGTAGAGGATGTAGGTTTGGGTCTGTCCAGAATGATCTTCCTGTTCCCCAGCATTTGCTTCTTCCAAAGCTGCCTCTGGAACCTGATCAACATTGCCAGCTAGTTGTATATGTTCTGCTATGATTTCTGGAGTTTCAGCTGTTTCCATTTTCAGACCTTAAAGAAAGATTTGCATTTGGCTGTATTTCTCAGTGGTTGACAGCTGGAGAACAGAAGTGCAGGTTATGTTGTTCTACATTGGTCTTGTGTGATGGTATCAGTAGTACATGATTCAAAAATGAACTCTCCTTTCTTTGCTTCTGTGAAGTAGAAACAGAATTTTGCTCCTACCAATGTTCAGGTGCATAACATCTTTGTATGGGGGTCAAAGCTTATGGGGGAAACAACCCACAAAGAATTCTGACACTTAGGAGATTGGGGGCTGTTAATTGTGATTTGGCCCTAGGAGATTGCTGACGGTGTTACTTAGCAACCATCTCCCAAACAGTAGGTTACGAGAGCTTACAATGAGAATTGCCTTGCTAGATCATATAATAAAGGTTTATAGCATTCTGTTAGATTTATGTAATGACTTAATTACTCATTTTGTCAGTGAATATTCTATTGCAGTTTTCCACCCTTCCCCTGAGAAGTTTCTTCAGGATGAAACAACTTCTTTCCTCAAGAGATATTACTTGCACTTACAGTGCTCTCCCAGGTGTTTCTGGTGCCTCAGTAATCTAGCAGGGCTATCTACAATAATTTTGTCCCATCTGTAATAGCTATGGGCGTAATTCCAGCTTGTGTGTTTATTCTGTCCTTTACTAGAACCTTGAGATCTACCAGCTCGCACTGTAAAAGTGATTGAAACATTATGAATTCAGGAATTGGTTTTGCATATTGGAACTGAAGTTACTATCCTTCCATATGTGCATCTACTTGGATGTTCTTTCCCATCTCCTTCTCCTTCTCCTCTTTCTTAATTTCACCAAAATCATTTGGGCTAGGTGGAGAAGTCTTTCCTTTGCTGCCATTGTTAAGATATTGGGAATGACAAATCATTGTTCTGCTGCAAGTCACCCACTGGCTCTACCTGCCTTGTGTTCACTCCTTGTCTACCATGCTTCATCATGTCCATGTGCCAGAGCAGCATTTTCACTAGGCTAGGGCTATATAGGTAAAAGTCAAAGCATTTGAAATGGCCTAAATAAATGGCCAAAATGAACACAAAGTCTTTAGTGTTTCTATTACTAAGCTTGTAGCACAATTCATTTGTTGACACTCCATCCAGCACTAATGTTCTTGTCCCACCCTCAGTTTTGCATCCTTAAAAATCATGTTACCATACAAGGAGTTGGTTCTCATATCGTTCTTAAAACTCCAGGCTTGTTCAAAAGTTGTGCTGCAGCTAACCATGCTATTTCTCAGGCATATATTCCAAGTCTTAGAGTTTAAATTGTGAGGTCATAGATGTTCTTGCGACAATTCTAACATATTCATTTGAACCCAGAGTGGACAGCATGGTTAGGCAATATTTCCCCATATAAAAAGATATCCTTCATTGGCTCCAGTCTGACCTTGCTAAACAAAACATTTCTCAGGGGTGAAAACATAGATACTAGAACCTTGGAAAGTAATAGTTGTTACTACTGAAACAACTATGGAAGATTGGTATTCCTTTAGGTGGTAAACAATGTAAACCAAACCCGTGCTACAAATTGGTTCTGCTTTTTATTCTCACAGGTCAAGTCAATGTTTACTTACAGAGAATCAGACTGAGCAAAGTCATAATATGAGCAGTCAGCTTCAGTTGGTATCTCTAGACTAGTCAGGTAGCTCATCACTTAAATATTTGCAAGAGCAGCACACACTTCTTGCATTATGTGAGGGGTGCTATACGTTAGGCCTATGCAAAATAAAATAATTTGGGCCATGGAGATGATTTATCTGCAGAATTGGACACCTGACTTGTCCCCATAAAGCATGGCTGAAGAGTTTCCATGTTGGGTGACTTCAAGGTTGCTCACAGCCTTTGTTAGAGCTAACCTGCTTTGAAGAACCGCAGTATGTGCCAAAGTTCTAGCTTAGGGGCCTTCAGTGCTGCTGACCTGAGAAGCACTTGGGCCATTGCTGGAGCGGGGGGAGGGGAAGGATTCCCTCAGCCTTCTCCTGCAGCACTCACAAATGGTCTTTTTCCCCCAATGTGCTTCTTTTGTGACGGGATGGTCCACAACCACAAGCCAGCTTAGAAGCTAGGAAAGCCCAGAGAGATGAAAGCTTTTTCTGCACTGTTGGCCTCTTTCAACTGGTCAAACAGACCTGAGAATTCCTCAAAGCCTGTGTCAGAACTGCCCAGGCTGAGAGACCCTTTACATGCCATGGGACTTTGGGCTGGCAGGCTATGCTGTAGATTCCTTGCAGCTCCTGGTGGCGCCACCCAACCTGGGAGATCCTTCAGCCAACACTGCAGGAAAGGGCCCCCCTCTCAGCCTTCTCCAGCCGTGCAACATCTAAGAAGTCTGAAACAGCTGAAGCCAAGCAATACGGCTGCTTCACTTCCATCCAAGAAGTGAGCGGGGCCCTATTGCTTTATGAAACAGCTTCAAAGGAATAATTGGAAGTTTTGTTAAAATGAAACACTTGGTTGAAATGTTGGACAGCCTTGACTAGATTTAAATTTTTTAATGTACAGGTAGTCCCCAGTTTAAGGAGTTCTGTTCCCATGGCCTGTCCTTAAGTCAAATTTGTATGTAGGCTGGAATAGTATTATTGTATAAGTAGTATTGGGTAATGAACTCAAACCATTGTGTATTTAACTCAAATTTTGCTACAATAGGCTTCGTTCTTAACTATAGGTCATCTGTAAACCAAGCATTCTTAACCTTGGGACTACCTGTACAAATGGGTCATGTATGTGAATGTCAGCATGCACGATCCAGGCATGGACACTAAAATGGGCTGGCACAGAGAGAGATATGATCAGGCCTCCCTTGCATACTTTCCCCAACGGTCCATGTTCTCTCTTCATATAAGTCATATTAGTTTGCAGCCAAACTCAGAATCTGCTCTGTTCCTATTTAAAAAATCTCCTCA